TGGTGGTTTTATGTTTATACTCATCATGTGTATCATATATCTGCTCTATATCAGATAAAAATAAATTAATATTAATGTGACTGCTATCCAAAACTTCACATTTTTTTTCTTTCCTGTGGTTACCTCCAAATGGGTATCTGAAGTCTGGGGTGGGGCAGGGTGCTAAACCCATAAGGAATCTGGTCTTGAAAAAAATAAAAAGGAATTGGGGCACACCCGGAACATGCATTTGTCCGCACCATGACTGAAAAATGCATGTTCTGGTGTGCCCCCAATTCCCTCCTTTTTAATTATTTGTTAATTTTTACTAACTTGTGTTCTTGTCATTGTTCTATAACTGTCTATTTCTCACTGTAGCCCCGAGCCGTATACTGTAAGGATGTCCTAGATATTGAGCAGTTTTCTACTGTAAAAGGAGTCAATTTGGACCAAACAGATAATGACTTCTATGCCAAGTTTGCAACGGGTTGTGTTTCCATCCCATGGCAAAACGAGGTGAGTAGTGTTCTCATTGTAGATCTGTTATATGGTTTGTATTGAATTGAGTGTTCAATAAATCAGTGGTTCCCAAACCAGCCCTCATGGCCCACAACAATCCAGGATTTGTGTATTTCCCGGTTTTATTGTAATGGAGATATTGACAAAATCTGGACTGTTGATGGGTCTTGAGGACTGGTTAGGTAAACACTGCCATAGATACTGTATATAAAATAAATTATAAGACAACTAACAGATTTCTCCGATAGCATACATATTTATAATAGAGACATTCAAATATATGTAATAGGAGGTAACTGCCAGTATAATGTTCAAACTGCACAGTTCACCATAAATATGTGTGATGTCTATTTAATTTTTAAATCCACAGATGATTGAAACAGACTGCTTTAAAGACCTCAATGTCTTTGGACCAGACGGAAAACGTTCTCCTGACTTAGACTGGAGGCAGCTTCCCGAACCCCCCAAACGGAGCTTACTACAGAGACTCTTTCGGAGACATGTATGTGAGCAGAAACTTATTAAAGCTTTACTACCTTTTTATACATTTTTCATTATGGCTAGATTTAAGAGGTGAAGAGACAATTCATAGAGGATGTCAGTTGAGCCAAAAATGTGCCGATTTAGAGCCAAATATGGGCCTTATTTGTTTTATACATACAAATCAGTATATTTGACTAGTTAGAAGAAATTGTGCACAGATTAAAAAAGAACTCTTCTAAAGAGACCATGTTAAGCATGACACCTGATAAAGATAAATATACCTAAAATTAATGATATTCTACTTGTACTTCAATGCTTACCTGTACTCCTCTCTAAACTCTTTTTAAACGTATGTGTTTTCCACATATATTATTCATCTAGAGCAATAAACCAGATTTTCCTACCAATTTAAGATTTAGAAGAAGAGCAGGACTCCCACACATATACCACTATGTAACAATTATGATATACATAAGTGGACCAAAAACTGTATCAAAACATTTGTAAGTCACACGAGCAATCATCCCTGAAGGTGCCATTCTCCTCACTCCCTAGCGATCAGCCCCTCTCTCATTGCTCTGTGATGGAAAGCATCCCTCTATTCTCTCTACATGAAGATTATGGTTGCTACTCTGAGTAAATCCCAGTATCTCTCCAAACCTGTCTCCACTTTTACCAATAACCCATAACTCCATTACACATTCATAATCTGACAACCCAGACTGCAGCACACTCCTAGGATATTTCCCTCTCGACTTACCTACTCCTCCATCAAGGAGCAAAATCAAGTTAATACCTGAAACATAAACCCTTCCTTACCTTCGATAACAAATTAGGCCCCTTATGTCACATCAGAAGTATAGAGCCACAGGTTACACAGTGCAGGGTGTAAAAAATTATGACCCTCTTACACAGGGTGAAGAATAATAATTATGGTCCAGGGAACAAAACAAAGATATGACTTTTCGGCCGTGAGGCCTTAAAAATTTATAACATGATACATGATTAAGGCCTCACTGCCAAAAGTCATATCTTTGTTTTGTCTCCTGGACCATAATTAAATGTGTGCTCTACACTTTTGGATTTATATGGGGGGGCTAGCTTACCTGCCCCACAGAGCTCCGGTGCATGAAAATACTAGTATGCAGCACTCCACTACCTTATCACACTTAACACTCCTGCTTACTGGAGTCCATAACTAGCATTGTAGCCTTTCACTTTCTCCTAAAACTTGCCACAACAAAGTGTTTTTGCTTGTTCCAAATGTTTTTGTTTTCATTTTTTTTCTTATATATTCTGCTATGAATTGGTGTTAAAATTCAATCATGTTTTCCACCCAAAAGGGGGGGGGATGCTTTGTGTTAATGGAGATGTAACATGGAAGGAAGGCTAGATCTTTGAGAGTCAAAGAAACAAAGCAGTTAGCATGCCTAAAACTCATGGGGTTTTTTTTTTGGAGGTGGGGTGGAGGTTCCAGTGCAAATAAGCTTTAAGACACAATAGTGAGTTTAAATAAGTAAAGTCTCAAATTCCAAAGTATAAACCTAGTGTGCACTTTCTACTGCCCTTTTCTCTCTTCCTTCTGCTTTAAAACTCTAACTTCTAATTTCTTCTTTACTTGTCTCCATAGCAAACCGATTATACCTTTGATGGAAATGACTCCTCACTCCCAAATGACACAAACCACCACTTCCAAGGCAGGACAGCTACAGCCAATGCAGGGTCTTGACGTTGATTGAAAAAAAGAAGAGATCAGAGCAATTCATGCCAGGCTGTTTTTTTGATTGTTTTTATATATTTTTTTGTTTTCTTTAAAAACCATGGAACTATCAGAGTGTCCTTTGCTGACCCTCCCTTGTTTTCTCAGGTTTATCCATGAACTGTGCAAGTGAAAAATTTCTTTTTACAGGAAAAAAATATACATATATATTTTAGGTCTTCAAGACCAAAAGGACTAATGGAAATTCCGTATTCTTACTGGTGGAGAGGCAAAGGACTTTTCAACTCCATGCAGATCAGAAATTCTAAGCTAAGGGAAATGTACAAGTTGTTTTGTTTAGTTGGGTTTTTTTTAATTTTATTTGTTGAATTTTTTTATGACTTGTTAAGATAAATCTATATCAGGTGCCATTTTACATTTTGATATAATTTTGAAATAACTTCCAGAATAAGGAGCTGTTCTAAATGAGGGGATATTCTGCACCCACCTACTTAACATCACTTGTCATTTATGGCAGATGTTCTAGTATAGAATTTCTTCATGAACATAATAAAACACTTATTTTTTTTTTTTTATAAGGGATTATTAATGAATATGTAATTAAGAAACATGCTACTGTTTTCAAGTTTTTATTTTTTATTATAAACAGCCTCGTCTTTGTACAGAAGATAGAATTCATGACCTAGGCAATAATACAACCTAAAATAACCAGAAGCTCTTCATCTCTCGACCAGATGTGGGTTATCTAGCATTCTCTTAAAAATAAATTAATAATTCCATAGGATTAGGTTTATTAAGCTTTAATGTATCCCATGTTTAGGCAGCCAGGCCCCCAACAATTCTTCTCTAATTTTAGGTGCATAAAAGTCATCATTTTGAAACCACTGTATATTTTTGTGGTTCCCAGAAGTTAGCTTCTTTTAACAAAACAGTATTTTCAATTTTAGTGCCAATATGCATATGGAAGTAGGAACTTAAGAGTTCACGTGAATGGACACTCTAAAGATACAAGGAAAGGCTTGATATGCGATCACTACATCTGCTGTTCATTGGAAATCTGAGATATGATGACCCAACCAAAATTGTTATATGATTATTATTGTTATGGATGAGGGGAGGGAAGGGGAAAAGATGTATTTATGGGTATGGAAATTCCCAATTTTGTTTCTCCTCATGCCCACCAAACAAAAATATTTTCCACGCACACCTCTATGTAATAACTGTTATTTGATAAACAAACACATGGAAAGTCAACAAGCTACAGATATACAGTATACATATACAAATTTTGTATTCAATTAAAGAGTATCAAAAAGTATTATACATTTTTTCTTTATACAAGGCATAAAAGGACACTGTCGTAATAAAATGTTTTATATTTTACTTATACATTAAGTGAAGTGACTTCACCTGGAAAAAAATCATACTTAAATTTGCAAGGAAACCTTTATTTATTTTGCATGTATGTACTGGAATTCTAGAAGAGCCTTCATTAGGAAATCGTTAGAGCACTGATAGGTCTATTGAGTTATTTTCATTTGTAACCAGGTCGATGTTCCAGGAGGGATAAGCCATATGGCAAATATTTTGGGTAAACTGCAAAAATGGTCAGAGCTGTGGCAACTGGCATTTAATGTGGATACGTGCACGATAATGCATCTTGGGTGTAAAAACCCAAGAACAGAGTATAAAATATTTGATAGAGTCCTAACCTCAACATCTGAGGAAAGGGATCTAGGGGCGATTATTTCTGATGACTGAAAGGTAGGCAGACAATGTAATAGAGCAAATGTGATTATTCCACCTGGCACCAGTGAAATAAAATATAAATAATAATACAACGTAACTTATAGGAAACAGACTCCCAGGGATATGTATATACACACAAAATTTAGGGATCTTGCTGGTGTACCTATAGAAAAAAATAACAGTATAGTTCCTTCTCCAGACTGGTCTTTTAAGTCACCACAAACTATTTACCAGAGGTTTTCTTTCGAAAAAAGGATATTTATTATACAAAAACTAAAAAAATTTCAAAGTGTAAAAATATGGTCATCCTACGCGATTCGTTCTTTCGTGAGAACTTCTTCAGGGACCCATACAATAAAACCAATAACAATCTGATACAGAATAAATCACAGCCTAAATACCCATCCCCATAGTTCTCTTTATATAGTGATAGCCCCTAAATCCTTATTGCTGGAGTAGTGGGCATCCTCTCTAACTCTTGAGTTTGGTAGCCACTGGGTATTTATGTTTATAATATGTGGAAATAGCATATTTTCATACAAAAGTAAGGAATGAGCAGTAGGTAACATGCTAAATTAGCTTGACTGGCATATAAACATATTGGAATTAAAATGAAAAGGAAATAAAAATGAATGCACAATTTCCACTGAAACTAGGTGCAGTCCTGAGCTGGTTGCATTACGGGTGTGACTGCTAAGGGATGAAAGTAAAAAAAACAACATAACCTTGGGGCAACACCTCCACCTGAGAGCATACAAAGGAAAGATGAGCCAGTGGGGGTTATTGCTCGTCTCCATGTAGCAAGTGAGGATAAGCTTTGCATTAGGGGGTTAGATGCCTCTACCTGGCACTGCTTAACCAATGCCTATTGATGGCAGACTGTCCACCCCTCTGCAGGTGAGGGCCGCACCGGTCCCAAGTGCCTGTGTGCTCTTGTTCTGCGCCGACTGCAAAGCCATCTAGTCCAGTAGCTGGATCCTGGCCTCCGGGCCTTCTCTGTGCTCTGGATCTGTGTTGCCATGTGTGCACCCTATGATGGAGTGGTTTGCGAGTGTTTAGTTGGCTCCCACCTGAGCATTGTGCAGAGAAGCTGTGACGAGATTGTAAGATCAGTGGTCGGTGTTGGCATGCTGCTTTGTGGTTCGGTGCTGGGAGAGTCCGCCGGCGGGCCCATCGACAAGATGGACGCGACTCCGTGTGGGCGCTGGATCAGTAAGTTGCCGCTTCTGCCTCCTTCCCCTTCGTAGTAGGTAGATCAGGGTGGGTGGCTTTATGCTCCATGCGCTTTCAGAATTCCTGGCAGATTCGATCAAATCAAGCCTCAAAGTGGTCTGGATCTCAGGGCTTGCATGAGATTGCAGGGGTTGTGGCTCGGCGGCCATTTTGGGCCCGAACTGCAGTCCCCATTCCGGCAGATCAGCCTTTCGTGTTAAGTTTGTGGGATTCCCCATTGGGGACTGGAATGACCCCCACCGGTCCAGAGGGGGGGGGGATGCGGGATGCAAGGAGAGCTGCTGCTTATATCGGTCTTCAGGGTGGGAGATCGTCCGCCTCTCCCAACCATTATGGCGCTTTCCTTGCTAGGCCGCATTTGTAGAGCATGGTATTTCTCAACAAAAGTTCACAGAACAGGTGTCCACAAGCCCCCATGCGATTCAGCAACGAGTTCCTGTTGAGCAGGACTGCTATATTCAAGATTTTGGCCAGTAATCGCCAATATTGAGCTTGTGTGTGTCAGAGCTCTCTGCATACACGTCTGGCTAGCTCGGCTGTCAGGCCCCCCTCGGCATCCTATCTTCTGACCTCCGGATTTGTTGGTGCATTACTCGTAACAACAGTCTTGACTTTTCGTTGTTTTTTGGGGGTTTTTTGCCGGTGATTTCAAAAGTCTGTCAGAACGCTTATAATTCGTTCCACATCTGGATATAGCCAAAATGTCCGTGGGTTCCAGACTTGTGTGAATCTAAATGCGAACTCCCCCTGGCTTTCTCCCAAACGAGGAATTAACTTAATTATCTAAAAGTAATCTTGAAATAATGTTTGATCTCTCTTTGATACAATAAATGAATGTGCCAAATATCGATAATGTCACTAATGCCCTAATCTTAATTCAGTTATTCCTTAATTTATTAGTGTGAATGTAGTGAAAAAAAGCTTACATTCTGATTTGTGAACTAAATAAATTCTTAATAATCTGACTGACTATATAAATGTCAAAAAAAGGGTCATGAAATTATTAAAGTGAACAATATCTTGAAACAGGAAGGAACATTGCCCATTCTCCTATTAGATGGAATAACACATTTACTATCCTAGTCCCTTTCATTAAAGGCTATATAAATTTGGATTTTGCTTCCCAAGCACTCCCAAGCCTCAATAAGCAAACCAGTAACCAACCTCATGCTGACTAGTTGCATTAACAACGAAACAGCTGTCCATGAGTGGTTCACTGTTTTTGCATCTTTTCCTATATTGTTTCAAGCTGTTGTATACAGCAAACAAAGATTAAAAGGAATCCATGTTTAAAATGGAATGAGGCAAAAATGTGATTCTTTGTTAAACTAATTTGCATTTGCCCTCCCAGAATCCTTTGCGGTTGTAACATTGCTGCAGTTATGGGATTTCTGTGGGAAAAGTAAGTCTTATGGCTTGCTGGTGTGCAGATTTTTGTTTAACATTGTATTATCTACATTATATATAATATTTATTATGCCTCTAATGCTTTTTTTCTAGACATAAGCTTATTGCTTCCTCTTCCATCTATAAGCAACGCATTAAACAATAATAAACAAAATGGTGATTCATATAAAATAATACAAACAAGTTTGTGACATCCTATAACGTATACCCATTTGGAATATCTACTAAACTGATTTATATTTTATTTTCAATTTGATTTGGAAGTTTGGTATATCTACTTATTTAGCTCTTAAATAGATATTTGACAATTTGAACCCTATCATAGAGAATGACAAAAAATGTTTTAAACAAACAATAACTATAATAAAAGGATCAGTGTATATTTAAATCAGAGGTGATTAACTTCGGAAACATGTTAGATCCTACAGTATATCGACATTTAATCCTTAGGAGTTAATGCCTGCATTTTGTGTATCCAGAGTAGCAGGAAATGCTAGCAGAATGCATGGTTGTATAGGGAGAGGTATTAGCAGTAGAAAGAGGGAAGTGCTCATGCCATTGTACAGAACACTGGTGAGACCTCACTTGGAGTATTGTACGCAGTTCTGGAAACCGTATCTCCAGAAGGATTGATTCTTTAGAGAGAGTTCAGAGAAGGGCTACTAAACTGGTTCATGGACTGCAGGATAAAACTAACCAGGAAAGGTTAAATGATCTTGACATGTATAGCTTGGAGGAAAGATTATTTAAAAGAAGCAAAGATTTAAAAATATCATAAAGTATTACTTTACTGAGAGGAAAGTAGATGCATGGAATAGCCTTCCAGTTGAAGTGGTAGAAGTTACACAGTGAGGGGGTTTATGCATGTGTGGGATAGGCATACGGCTATCCTAGATATGAGACTAATGCAAGTATTAAGGAAATTGTAGATTATGCTAGCTTTAGTGTACCCTTAATCTTAACTTTATTAATGACAGGAGGTGAATATTTGCTTAAGTCCCTCTTTATTAGAACTCTACAGCAGCGCATTAACACAGAGAAAATCAACCAATCAGAAAAAAGTTAGATAAAATAAAGCTCCCCTCCCCACACATAACTTCCTCTTTCAAGCTGCGACAAAACAGAATAAAATGCAGTGTAACAAATCCTTGTAGGCAGTGAAGTCAACGATGTCATCCAGCTGAGAGGAAATTTTAAAGGTGGAGCCACGGACAGATTATAAACTGAAACGAGAAAAACAGTTGAAAGGGCTGGTTAGATAATGAAATGTACTCTGAAAAAACATGCAGTCACCCAGTGCGACAAACAGTATTGCTGTAATCTACAAAGATCCCAACCTTTCTATGTAAGAAACAGTAATGTGAAAAGCGACAGGTAGCAGAAAAAAGCAGAGTTGCATACATACCTAATTACACAGAGCTTCTGACCAGAGGTCAGACAAGGGTAGGGATGAAAAAACTGGGAGGGAAATTTTTGCCTCCTGTCATAAATAAAATTAAGATTATAGGTACACTAAAGCAAGCACAATTTTATAACGACAGGAGGCTTCATATTTGCGGTTTTAGCGCTCAGTCAACAAAGCAAACTATGCTTGTTCCGTTGGTCAGGCCAAAGGATTCGTCCTGAATGGATCCTTTGACAGAGACGTGACGGAAATGCGATCGACAGGCGGCAGTCGTTCATGCTCCTCCAATCCCGGGAACATGTGACCGGGCTCTGCCAGGGTGGTCGATGTAATGCAATGCCAATATGGTTTCCATTTTCAGGAGGATGCAACAGTCTGATATATTATCAGTGTAACTTGAGATTGCGAAAGAAAAACCCGCGGTCAGTTTTGGACCAAAGTTGTGGAAGTCGGCTTTTGAGCGTCCCAAGGGCTATCAGGTGATGTGGTCGCGCAAGCAGCTCCCTACTCTTAAGACTTTTGTTTGAAACCATGACCAAGTCTGGGGCAGAAAAGAATAAAAGTCTTACCATTCCCCATTGACCTCTGAAGTGAGTGATATCATCTGAAAATAGGTCTACTCCGTTGTCTAGCGTGCAAAGGGGAATCTGGTCGCGGCATAGAATTCTCTGGCTATCCATGCAAATTGTAGAATATTTATGACCATAGCACTCCCATGGGCGTGTCTGTCCTGAACCCCGGAACTTCACCACCTGGGACGGGGTGTGGGTCGACTTTCCTTGGAAGACTGCAAAGCCCAGGTATACGAACAAGGGGATCGTAAAGTGAGGTTGAGATCAGTTCAGGGCATCCTCGCGGGAGAGTAATAAGGAGTCTGGCTATGAGGTAATGGAAACCTTTGTAAACAAAGTTGAGCCGTCACTGGTCTTGGCAGTTGGTGAATCACCAAGAGCCCACACTTAGATTGGAGAGTAGATAGGTTGACCTGGCCCTAGGAAACACAGCAAACGTTGGTACATGGAACAGAAAACTACTGAATCTGGAGGTTAAAGACCGTGTGTAAACTTACGAATAAGAAGGCTGGATCCATAGACACCCCTATGGAGTCAGATGGGAAGCTGACAGGCTCTTTAGTTGACCAGGGTCTGGAGTTCTCGTCTACAAGTGCCTGGCGGTCCACCGTCCAGACCTGGTTCGGTGGGAATGGTGTCTGTATAGTGATTGAATGGAATAGTTCAAAATGGCTGTAGTAATGACCCGCTGTCATTCAACCCTGCCGGAAAAATCGAGATGGGGTCTGATAAAACGCTCGTCACACTGAAAAGTGGGCTCTATTGAGTGTGGTGTGTAAGTACATGTGTTCGTGAATTCTTTAATAATGTTTCTCCAAAGCCTAGGTCCTAGGCCAAGGGACCCCGTTCTTAATTTAGGGTCTACAATCTCGGCATCTATATAAATGAACGCCACCCATCTTCATTCAGTGCATATTGATACCTAGCGTTGTGTAGTAGGCCTTTAGGAGGGAAAGCTGAGTCTTAATAAAGGCTGTTCCAGAGGGCAGCTTTGCGTATGGGCTTCACCCGCTAGAAGTGAAAAAATACACCAGGCTTTCAAGAATGTTGAAAAACTTGATTTGAGCCAGTCTCAGGCTGTGATCAATACCCCTACGAGGGTCAGGTCCCGATCTTGCGAAGTATGTGTAGGTCCCTATGTCGCACTTTGGGGTCATTGAGACCTGATCAGGAAGAAATGGTCTGGGCATGCTGCCCGAATCTTGTATGCACTTCCCAATCTAGGTATCTGAGTCCAGTAATGTACATACTGGGCCAGATGATCGGGAGCCAGCTTTTGGGTGACTAATTTAATGCGGGTCAAAGAGAGGTTTCCCCCATCGAATCCAAGCAGATGTCGCCGTTTGGACCTGACGTAGGTGGTTGCGCAGGAGAAATCAAGGGAAGCTTTCCTGAATGCTTTGTGTACAAAGGGAGAGTCCTCCACCTCCGAACCTTGTCAGCTGTCAGAGGTTAAGCGTTCCTCCTGCCATTTATCCCAAATAGATACTGGGTAGAAACTGCAGAGCTGACCAGAGACTCTGGTCTTTTCACGAGCTTGGTGCGTACCATGCTCTTTCTGACATGGAGTAGTGGGTCTTCCCCTGTCCAGGAGCGCTTGCAGGATTGTGTATGTCTGTAGTTGGAGGCATTGGAATCTACTGATTCCTCCGACAGGAGAAAATGCCTGAGGGGTTGTCTATATTGGCATAAATAAAAGCCTTGCGTGATCGTCTGCTCAATCCCATTCAGATTCTAAAATAATATATATATATATATATATATATATATATATATCCTTAATAACTAGGGCTTACCCAGTAATAATACAACCTCCAGGAGTATATTCAGTAGGGAGGTACAGTGGCACAGACAAAGCAGGCCACTTATAATGCTGTAACAGCGACAGCCAGATCAAATAACCAATATCAGGCAAGGTAAGGTACCAGGATCTGTAATAATATGATGGGGTGCTCACCCCCAGTAATATAGTATATAAAATAGGCCAGTAATAGTACCAAATCCCATCTACTAGGGTAAATAATATATATATCTGTAGAAACTGGGCCTCACCCAGTAATAATACAACCTCCAGGAGAATATCCAGTAGGGAGGTACAGTGGCACAGACAAAGCAGGCCAATCATCGGAGCTGTAACAGTGCCAGTCAGCTCCAATAGCCAAAGTCAGGCAAGACAAGGTATCTGGATATGTAATAATATGATGTGGGGGTGGGGGTAGAATAGTATAGAATATAGGCCTGTATAGTAGCAGACCGAATCTGCTAGGGTAAATTATATACATATCTGAATTTGAAAGATTGGCCTTATTATATTCTGCCATTTCGCTTATCATAGCATGATATGGCAGCTACTTTTTAGGTGCTGCTCTTTGCATGTTGACCCTTATGTTGCCATTTATTCAGTAACTTTCTTCTTTTGATATTTAGCTACTTAGTCCATTTATTTGCCATCTATCTCTGCTACTCTGTATATTTTTCATCACAACAGTGTCAAGTAGCATCTATTGTTACTTTATTGCGCACACTGTGCAGTTATTCATTATTATTATTATCTTTTTGTTATTTTTTCTGGGGGGTTTATCTATTACAACCCCCCTTTTTCTTGGGTTTTTGTATATTTATTTTATTTCACTCCTTTCCTTGTTCGTATATACTCCTCATTTAGGGATATCACTTGATCACATTTGCTACCTCCATTATCCATTATTGAGACAGTAGTGATCAGTGATTGTGCATGTGTCTGTGATCGCTTTTAAGCTTCATTAATAAAGTATTTCGTCTAATCTTTTTTCTGAAATTATCTTGTGACAGATTACTTTCTCCTTTTGTTTTCATATATACATATCTGTAATAACTGGCTCACCCAGTAATATTCGTACAGAATACATTCCAGTAACAGTAGCAGATAGCATAAGCTAGGGCACTCTTAGAAATCAGGGGGCTCACCCCAGAAGCCCATATATAGTAATAAAAAATAATAAAATATAATGAGATGAGCTGTAATGTAGGGGCTCGCCCCCCAAATTTCCAGTTGATATGAGGCGGTCTTCATGAGAGGGGCTCACCCTTCAGTAATATGTACTTTGATAAACCAGGAAGCAGAAAACTATCCATATCGGTCTGTGAATGGGAAGGGGGCTCACCCTCCTATAAATAAATCAGTAATATATACTGTAATAGATTGTAGTCGGAATAAATATCAATACTGCTCACTCTCTAATACTGTAATTAGTATCCATATCAGTGTAGGGCTGAGAGAATGAGAGGGGCTCACCCTCTACTAATGAAAAATCAGAATCATGTATTGACGTAAACTGTAGGGTAAACAGAGAAACTGATATGAAGCATTCTAACAATCAGCATTGGGCTGAGCTTTGATGGGGACTCACCTTCTAATAATGATGTCAGTATCGTGTACTGACCTAAGCTGTAAGGTAAACAAAAAACTGACCGGCGTTGGTATGAAAACCGCATAGAGTTGTGTTTATGCGAGGGTCACCCTCTAATAAGGAAGCAGTATTATGAGTCGAATTAAACCATAGCCTAAGAACAGAAAGAACAATGGCTGCCGGCTACGGAAATCGGAGGAGGCCAAAGGAGAGGCCTCTCGAAATCCCGAGCAGGGGAAAATAAGGTTCCAAAACAAAGCACCAAAGAAACAAAATAATACAGAAAAACAAAATACAGCTGGAATAAAGTTAAGTATGTAGACATGAGAGGAAAAGTATGACAGGAAAGAAAGAAATAACAAGTTAAGCAGACAGAAAATGATAACTAAATACACATAATCATAGATGAAGAAAACAAAAAGAAATAGAATATGCATATAATAACAGGAGTAACAAATCACTAAGTATATAGTGCAAAATATTTATTTAGTACAGTGTACCCCTGTGGAGATAGCAGGGCCGGCCTTAGGCAATTAGGCGCCCTGTGCAAAAAGTCTTCACGGCGCCCCCCCCACCTCCCACCAAGTTGCCTGAATACAGTAACACACACAGGCACCGGGGACGTGTGTATCACGAGGCAAACAAGGCATCTGCCTTGGGCGCCACTTTGCAGGGGGCGGCAAAAAAAAGCATCCCTCCAAACCCCCAGGCAGATCCCTTGCTTGCCTCGCATCCTGGGGGGCTCAAGAGCTGACCGGCTGGCCACTTTTGAGCCCCCCCAAGGCTGGCAGCGGGCAGCGAAGGAGCATACTCACCTGAGCTCTTCCTGCTCAGCTTCCTCTGCGCCGCTTAATGAAGCCGGGAGCCAGAATATGACGTCAGTCCGGCTCCCGGCATCACTAAGCGCTGCTTACTCAGCCTGTGCGCCCCCTGCCTGCCTGCCCAGCAGCCACACTGGACTGCTGGTAAGAAATCCACTCCAGCTTTCCCAGGGAGGCTGGGTGGATTTAAAATAAATGTAAAAAATATTAGTTTGTGAGTGTTAGTGGAAATGTCTGTGTGTGTGTCTGTGAGTGTTTATTTTGAAGTGAATGTGTGTGTGTGTGTGTGTGTGTGTGTCTGTAAGTGTGTAATTGTGTGTGTCTGTAAGTGAATGTGTGTGTGTCTGTGAGTGAATGTGTGTGTTGGTCAGTGAGTGTATATGTGTCAGTCAGTGAGTGTGTATGTGTCAGTCAGTGAGTGTGTATGTGTCGTCAGTGAGTGTGTGTCGGTCAGTGAGTGTGTAGGTCAGTGAGTGTGTAGGTCAGTGAGTGTGTGTCGGTCAGTGAGTGTGTGTCGGTCAGTGAGTGTGTGTCAGTCAGTGAGTGTGTGTCAGTCAGTGTGTATGTGTCGGTCAGTGGAGTCGTGCATCTTTCAGTGAGTGCTTGCGTCTGTCAGTGAGAGTGTGCATCTGTCAGTGTGTGTCCAAGTAATAGTGTATGTGTGTATGTCATTGTTTGTCAGTGTATATGAGAGTGTGTGTCTGTCAGTGAGTGTGCGTCTGTCAGTGAGTGAGCGTCTGTCAGTCAAAGTGCGGCCTTGACAGGAAGGGGTGGGGGAAATTTAAACTCGGTTACAGGCATGTACACACACACTCAGTTAAAGGCAGTCACACATACAGGCACAGGCACAAACAATGGCACAGCTACAGCGACACACACAGACAGACAGTCACATAGGCAGTCACACACACAGACAGACACACAGTAACACACACATAGACAGTTATACACACACAGGCAGGCAGTCACACAGATAGAAAGTCACACACACAGGCAGGCAGTCACACACAGACAGATAGTTACAGACAGACACACACAGGCAGGCAGGCAGTCACATACAGGCAGTCACACACACAGGCAGTCACACACACAGAGTCACACAGACAGACAGTCACACAGACAGACAGTCTCACACACACAGGCAGTCACACACACGGGCAGTCACACAGACAGACAGTCACACAGACAGACAGTCACACAGACAGACAGTCACACACACAGGCAGTCACACACACGGGCAGTCACATGGGCAGTCACACAGACAGACAGTCACACACACAGACAGTCACACACAGGCAGGCAGTCACATACATGGGCAGTCACACAGACAGACAGTCACACACACAGACAGTCACACACAGGCAGGCAGTCACACACAGAGACAGTCACACACACACACAGAGACAGACAGTCACACACACACACACACACAAGGACAGGCAGTCACACAGACAGTCACACGCACACAGGCAGGCAGTCACACAGACAGACAGTCACACACACACACAGACAGACAGTCACACAAACAGGCAAACAGTCACACACACACACTTACCTCTTTCCAGTGGATGCAGTTGGCTGATGGGGAAGCATCTTTCCCTCTTCCTGTACAGCAGGGGCTTCGGGAGGTATTAGCCCCGTCTCCGCCTCTCGATAAGCCCCGCCTCCGCCGCTCGGTAAACCCCGCCCCCTCTGCCGCGATTTTTTTTTTTTTTTTAATAGACCCGGGTGGAGAATAATTAATCCTCCAGCCAGGTACCTCTTTTAGCTCCCCTGCACTCCGGCCATGAGTGAGCTGTGTCGGCCACAGGGCGCCCCCTGTTCCATGGCGCCCTGTGCGGTCGCACAGCTCGCACACCCCTAAGGCCGGCCCTGGGAGATAGTGATGAGAGGGTTAAACCAAGGAACAAAACAATGGGAGATAGACCGCACCCAATAATGTGGGTCAACACTGTGTAAGGTAAGGTATGCTTATAGAGTGTGTGTATATTATTTTTTTTCCCCTGACACCTTGAATTAACCATTTAATAAAAATCCTCAGGAAAAAAAAAAAGATAAAAAGCCGATAATAGTGCAATGTCTCATGAAGAGTATAGATTAGATAGGTGTTTAAGAGCACTAACTCACACTTTGCTGAGCTTCTCAAAGCTCTGCTGTTTAGTGCTTGAACAGTACAATCCCCGTCCCAGGATGTATGAAGCTCCACTGGATTATATGAAGTAGTATTCCAATATATGGAGAATTAAACATGAAGATTTTGATGGTGTAGTATGTCAGTATAAAGATATTGGTATAAACACAGTATCCTATTACAATTTTAAGAGCAAGAACTTGCTCTGGTGTTATACCGCTTTGGTGGCATTGGCGAATCCAAAGCCTGATCTCGGTAGGGGCACTTGTAGATTATTTAAAGAAATAATCCATGCAAAATAACCACTACAGCTCTGTGTAGTGGTTATGGTGCCGGGACCCCCTCCCAGAGTAAGTAGTCAAACCGTTTAAGAACAGTTTGACAACTTACCTGGGGTCTACTGGGATAGGGGGTTGTAGTAGGGTATAGAAGTAGTGGTGTGTGTGACTGGTGCAGTGTGTGTGAAAGGTTCAGTGTGTGTGGGGGGGGTGTAGTGTGTGAATGTGTATGGTGTGTGGGGGGCAGTGTATGAATGGGGGCAGTGTATGTGTGTGGGGGGCAATGTGTGTATGGGGGGCAGTGTGTGAATGTGTATTGGGGCAGTGTATATGTGAGGGGCAATGTGTGTAAAGGGGGCAGTTTGTGCATGTGTATGGTGAATGTGTAGTGAGGAGGGCAGGGGGGCTTTTTTATAAAAAAAAATTTAAATAAATAAATTTATGTCCCCCCTCCCTTCTTACCTTTACTGAGGGAGGGGGGGGGGACTTTTTTCTATCCCTGGTGGTCTAGTGGGCAATCCACTGCTATGAGGAATTATTATTGGTATTTATATATAGCGCCAGCATATTCCGTAGCACTTTACAGTATTTTCAGAGGGGAAGATTTAACAATAAATGAGACAATTACAAAAACTTACCTCAATCAAGCTTACAGTCTAGAGAAGGTGGGGTATAAATAAAACACAATAGGACAGGAGATAGCAGTCAAACAAAGTTGGAATAAAGCAGAGCCGGAGGAGAGAGGAGTTCTGCACTTAAGGAAAGAACAAAAGAAAAGGTATGTGAGGTAAAGGTTACTCTAGGAAGGTATTAAAGGACCACTATAGGCAGCTAGACCACTTCAGCTCAATGAAGTGGTCTGGGTGCCAGGTCCATCTAGGATTATTCCTGTCTGCTGTAAACATAGCAGTTTCAGAGAAACTGCTATGTTTACATATGGGTTAATCCAGCCTATAGTGGCAGTCTCAGTTCCTGTTTATGAAAATCTTAGTTATATAAGAATATTGTTTTTTGATAACCTGGTAGAAAGATACTGAGGTTCAGAAATCGCAAATATCTGTTGAACACAATTTCACTACTTTTATATGCAGGTAGCATTAATTCCAATTCAATTAAACTGTTAATAGCTCCCGACTGATTCCTTTCTTGCAACTGTTAATAGTCTAATGCTATCCTTACCTTTTGTGTCACTTTACCCCACTCCCTCTAGCATGTAAGCTCATTGAGCAGGGCCCCTTAACCCCTTTGTTCCTGTGTGTCCAACTCTGTTCGTCCACACACTGTAAAGCGCTGCTGAATTTCTTGGCGCTATATAAATAATAACATAACATAACAAGTAGTTACTTTAAAACATTGAACTTTAAGGTGCTCCTAACGATTGAACCCCACTCTATTGCATTATACCAGCGTTTCCCAATTAGTGTTCTGCGGAACCCTACAAAATTGGGGTTCCATGGCGATTTGCCCATCGGTTGGCCCAAGCATCTAGGGCCCCCCGATGGGTATCGCTAAACAGGGGTCCGGTCAGGCGCCACGGGCATCTAAGACCGCAACTGGACCCCTGTTGTATGGTATGCTGGGAGGAAGTGACAGCACCTCCTCCCAGAGAGAGCACACAGGCTGGAAGGAGAGCGGGAGCGCAGCGGGGAGTGAGTAGCTGACCTGGCACACCATCCTCAGCCAGCAGCCTGCAGCACTTTAGGAAGAAAAAGGTAAGTTAAACATATGTGTGTGTGTCTGCCAATGTGTGTGAATCTTTTTGTCAAGGTGTACATATGTGTGTGTATGTGCCAATGTTTGTGTATCTGTGTGCCACTATGTGCCAGTGTGTCAAGGTGTGTGTATATATGTGTGTCAGATAAATACACAAACACCTTGACACACTGGCACATACAAACACAGATACACACACAGACACACACCAGCACAAAAAAAGGTTTATGCAACGTCAAAATTGTTTGTTTGGTTGTTTTTTTGGGGGGGGGGGAGGGAGGGTCCACGATGTTTATACACTATGTCAAAAGGTTCCATTGGGAAAATGTATTAAGAACCCCCAAATCCTTAATGGGTATTTGTGCAAAATGGGGTTACTTCTTTAAAAATTAAAGAGAATGACTTGGAAGAAAGTAAGAAGCTTTGTATAGTTAAAACTATAGTTTTGCTCTCCACAAGTTTAGAGGGAAATCCAGACGTGGACCCCTTGCTCACCGTGCCTAGGGAGATATCAGCTATGCCTCACTGATGATGCCTAACAAGGCTGAAACGATCGTCTGGGGTTGCTGTATCTCTCGTGCAGAGGGATCTTGCTGGCATTTTGGATCTGGACTGCCCGTATGGGTGGGACCAGTCTGATATGTTTCAGATATGTTCTCTCTGTAATGGCACAAGATGAGCAAAAACCAGCTTGAGATCTGAGCGGGGACCCACCGAAGGGCAGGCTATTTCAGCTGCTGCTCGTTCTCAGTATTCTCTTGCGATCCATTTTTTTGCTCTTAAAACTTAACTCGCTGGTGAAATTACCAAACATAAACAAAAAGATAGGAAAGATAGTGTAAGGTTTCTTATACACCTTGAATTGTGGCCAAAAATAAAGATTGCGGAAAGAAAACTAATAGATTTACAGTTGTGAACTGCTCTTATTTGCAGATTTTGAAAGTGAAGCCATCAATCTTAGGGATATGTTTAGAAAGCAGGGTTATCCCAACAACACCCCAAAAAAAAGCTTATAGGAGATTGCCAAGTAGCTGATCCTGGCTGCCAAGAACGTGCAACATCACAATAGTAAAAATCTGCTGCATTACCTCCTATGATTTTGCAATGCACTGCGTTAGGGATATTATAGGGAAACTATGGCCTATTCTGGAATGTGATATGATTTAAAGGGCATTTTAATGTCTTCTTCTTCAATGATGTAACAGAGAAGTCCTAATTAAAGTGCTGTCCTAGTACACTGTCCTCTTGGAATAGATGGAAAACCATCTGCCTGATTTTCTCAACTTAAAGGAACTTTAAATGCGGGACATGTACTGTTTGTGCATTTTATTTCTCCATCCAAATAATCCAGATTACTAGTATTGGCAAACATTTTCTTTTTTTGGGGGGGACAGGTAATTCAAAGTGCAGCACGGTAATATTGCTATATCATCCTAACAAGAAACCTGTACTTTTTAAGTTTTATCTTAGCAAGAGTAAAGAACAGTTAGTAATCAGCTTCCCCAGTGCACCGGAGAATAGATCCTGCTGTGTGCTTAGCGAGTTATAATAGGATGTATGTGTCTTGTGTTCCAGGCTTAAATAAATGGGCAGAGCTGTGGAGTATACCCCTAACCAAAGGGGCAGCGTGGGGATGTAAGTACATTTACCTATATGGATGAACATGTGAGAGTAGTTAGACTATGCACTTACATGCATGGCAATAAAGCTTTTTTTCAGCCAAGGCAGCCTTTTGGTGGCTGCTCTTGTGTACAAGGTAAAACATATAGAAACCGAAAGAAAAGAATAATGTAGCAAAATAAAAGTACAAAAGAAAGACCGTGTGTCATCCCTAGAAACATAGTGTGTGAGAATTCACAGGGCAACCCTCCCCCCCCCTTGCAGTAACTTAAGTGAGGTTTCTCCCCAGCATCCCCATCGAAAAGAAAGGAGTCACTGAATCGGGGTCGAACGTTAGATGTAGACGGAGTATCCAGAAGCTTGTAACATATATCGTCTTTGAAACTGTGGGGCGTCTTGCCATGGAGAGCTGACATAAGGAGGCTTTTGGAATGTGTAGAAAGAGAACCGAACAATAGCATCCCTTACCATGGTATGGGGAGCCTGTCTGGCTTGCAGCAGGTGGTATGCCATGTCAAAGGTAATCTTCTTGCCCTGTGAAGATGGAAGTATTGATGCAACTTAGCAGCTAAGGTAATGAGGTAGTTCCTCAGGGGTGATGGCATCAGAGATACCCCTATTTTGATGTGGTTGGGCCTGTTGCAGTTTTCCATGATGGCCATTTGTATACTGACCATACCGCAGGCATATTTTAGGTGTTTTTGTTGATTAGACAATCCGCATTTAGGTCGGAGATGTCTTCCTTCCTGGCTTTGACTCGGTCTGTGACATTGTGGACATCTGCTTTGACAACTTCAATATCAGCAGCTAGCAGTTTCTGCAGGTCATGCAGTCAATTATGGTTGTCCTGTTTTGTGACAGGGACAGAGCTCTCTAGGTATAGCATACAGGTTTCTAGAGTTGTCAGAGCCCTCTGTTGTTTAGATGACCCACCTGGATCAAGTTGAGGTGGTAAGGCCCGAGGCCTCCAACTGTACCGTGGTGGCCATCTTAGGCTGGGCTTGGTGATGGACTAATGCTCCTATATCCCGGGTTTCCATGGGTGTACTGGGTGACTACTTTAGTGCGGCACTTCATGTCAGGCTCGCCATCTATTAACATTTGGCCTTCTCATGCACAGCATTGGGCCCTTGTGTGCCTCACCAGGGAGCCTTTTACAGGCCGGCAGCAGGGGTAAGTAGCTACGTCCTTGCGCCATGATAGTTTTGGCTGCGGTATAGGGAAGAACGGCATCAACTTGTGGCAGAGCACACTTACGGTCCAAAGGGCAGGATTGAGCAAGAATAAGGCTTTTTACCAGTTTTGCAGGAGTCACAAAGTGTGCGTCTCCCTCAGGTAATGGCAAGCTCTGCCCCCGCTGGTTGATTTTGAATCTTTCGTGAACTGCATCTCTAACCATCTGGTATGTCTTACCATGTGCAGTTGTGATTTAGAAAGACCCATCAAAACTTTAAACAAACAATTAAACAATGTATGCACTCTATCTACAATATTGATGTTTATACTACTTTATCAAGACATGGCAGTGATCCAAACATTTGACATTTCAAGTTATTCCCAGACTTTAATTATCACCAAGGAAGGGAGATCATAATCTTTTTTTATTTTTTATTTAAAGGGACACTCCAGGCACCCAGACCACTTCTGCCCATAGAAGTGGTCTGGGTGCCAACTCCCACTACCCTTAACCCTGCAAGTGTAATTATTGCAGTATTTTATAAACTGCAATAATTACATTGCAGGGTTAACTCCACCTCTAGTGACTGTCTACTAGACAGCCACTAGAGGGCACTTCCTGGTTTCTAGCACAGGAACCCTGTGCTAGAGCGTCGCTGGATGTCCTCACGTTGTGTGAGGACCTCCAGCATCGCTCATTTCCCCATAGGAAAGCATTGAAATGCATTTTCAATGCTTTCCTATGGGGAGCGCTAATGGCGCGCATGCGCATTAGGTCTCCCCAGCCAGTGGGCGGGATCAGTCTCGCCCACCGGCCGACGCAATGCAAAAGAGGAGCGGCGGCGGAGGAGGAAGCAGCTACGAGGGACATCGTCGCTGCCTCAGGTAAGTTACTGAAGGGGTTTTCACCCCTTCAGCAACCGGGGATTGGGGGGTGAGAGGGAGAGGGGACCTGCAGTAGATACAATTCAGAAGTTCCTCCTTTTGTAATTTTTGCAACATTACCTTTAAGAGGTCATTGTGAAGAAATGCCCCTCTAATACTGTAAATTGACCCCTTGTATTCGTTTGTTTAATAGCAATGTTTCCCTATGGCATTCGGTAGGTGAAACTACCGAATGCAGACCACCCTGTTACCCATTATACAGACTGTACCCCCTTGCTGGCTGGATTACGTTCGACAGAAGTTCTGCACGGTCTCGCCGCCATTTCGGGACTTCCACGTGTTCGCGGCCATTTTAGCTCCCGAACAGCGGTGTTTGCCTTTGAATGTCTGGAACTGAAAACGGACACTCAAACAGGCGAACACCGCTGAAGCCTCCAGACCTTTGGTAAACCCCCTTCCAAACTACCGAACGACCGGGCGTTCGGTAGAAAGACTTACTAACGGATAGGGAATCAAGCGAACCAAGGATGGTAGCTGGATGGCCGGCCGTTCGGGAGGTTTTTCATGCGACCTAAGACCGACTGCAGGGCCAGAATTCATGGAACTGTTTTCGGCTACTTTGCCCGTGCAGTCGGTCAAAACTTCTAAGTCCCATATCTCCCGAACCGCTGAACCGAATGGACTGAGTTTTTAATATGTTGGTCCTTGGGGTACATCCAAACTTTGGGGAAATCCTGTTACGTTTTAATTATGTTTAATGGTTATCTGAGGGGAGGAGATGTACAGTATGTATATTGTTAGGATTGGATGTATGGCTAATTATATGGGAGGCTCCCTTGCATGGGCTGAATTCCATAAAAAGAGCATGCCTGTCAATAAACCTTCAGTTCATCTTTGTACCCTTCTTCTGACTACGTGTGCTGTTTGGGAGTTCGTGTGTTTTGCTGTGGGAATTATCCAGGAACACTATTGGATTTACAATTGGGAATTCGTCTACCATAACTACCGAACGGAGGGCTATATTCACTGGGCTCTGGCTATTCGGGAGGAAACTACCGATTAAGGTTTAAATGTACTTGGTTTCCTTACAGTCATGAATTGATCTAATGATACTATGACATTTTTAATGTCTGATTCTTTTTAACGAGTCATTTAATTTTTGGTCAGGCACTTTGTTCCTATCTTATACATTTCTGAGCAAAATTAGATTAATTTATTTATATTGTCATTTGAAGGTTAATGAACAAATGGGATGTTTTTCTATAAACATAATATTACATCCCTAATACAATCTTTGTCTGATATTTTCACCATTGAGATGTTTTTTTTTAATTATTATTATTTTAAGTAGGATTATATTAAAAGTGACATTTTAACTATACAACGTTTCTCATTTGTTTCCAAGTCATTCACTGCAGTATAATACACATAGCACACGGTTGTCATGGCCAAACCCCAATCTTTTCCTTTTAACTAGCAGTTCTTTGTAGTAAACAATATTTGTTAAACACACTTTAAGCATACTTAAAATGAACCAAGTATATTGGGTCCTGTTCCTACTTCTTAAGAGTTGCACAAAGTTATGTGTATTCTTAAATGTATCTCCTACGATCAACAATCTTAACCAGATATTTTGTGATATCACTGGTGGCAGTATTGGTGCGGCTGCACCGGGCCCTCAAGCTTGGAGGGTCTGACCAGGTGTTTATCAGAGCGACCAGCCACTATCAGGTAGTGTTGGAATAAAGTGAGGTTGGGTCACTTCCCCCTAACATACAGAGGAAGGCTCAACCAGCACCTAGATCTGGACCCCGGTAAAGGCACCCTCAAGCACCCAAATGGTATGTAGGCTCGGGGTGGCTAAAAATATGTAAATTATTATTTGTTTGTGTCATTTTGTATGGGTATCTTTGTTAGTGTGTGTGTGTGATAGTGTTTGTGTATGTCCATTCATCGCAGTATTCAAATACCAACACTACACACAAATGCACACCTGCATTCAAATTACACTACATACAAGCACCCCACAGCTTTCAAATGGCAATAGTACATTCAAATATCCTCCTACAGTTACACATACACATTCCATACAAAAACATGCTAGCATTCAAATGCACAAGCACTGTTCACATATACAACCCTGCAAGCATAGGCAAAAAGTTGGTCCCCAGATGGCAACGCAATGTGGGTGTTGCACAACAGTTGAGGGTCTACCTTTTGGACTCCCTTGTGCTAGAGGCGAGCCAAAAAAAATCTTGCACCTGGACACTCTCTACATTAGTTCTGTCACTGTGTGTTATGTATATAATATATTAAGTTACAACAGACTTTTTGTTTTTACCTTTATTTATTTATTTTTCCTAATGTACACAATGTGACAAATGTTTACACTTGTTGGCTTCTTCTGTTCTGATGCCTATTTGTTACAAAAACCTTCATTTTCCCTCTCTATGATGGTTTTCCTTATGTCTTATGTCTAGTTAATGTAGTAATCCGACAATGTTGAATCCTCTGCTTGTTATATTCTTGCATGTGCTGTAACAAGTGGACAAGCTTCTTTAATCCTCCTGAGGGTGATTTAGTAATTTTCCAAGATTTGCCTTTTTACTGTCCATGGTTGAGTAATTGTAATCTCATGTGATCCTTTGCTTTTAATTTTTATTATTGTTTATGAAAGCAGATTAAGAATCCCCAAGATCCTTTGCTTGTATCCTATCGTATTCTAGCTCCATTTCTTTCCCATTGGAATGGAAGGACAAGGATTCCAGAAGAAGGCTACAGTACGATCCCAGGTTTAATGGCAGTGTTACTATAAGAAATGGGTGTTTTATTACAAATCCATGTATTTTCTTACATGGGAAAAAAAAAATATTGCTAGTGTTTTTAAATGGACTGAATATATCCAATTTCTCTTGGTAATGTTCTATGGAAACATATGGAAAATTTTTAAAGGTACTCCCTCTTCCTGCAATGAGATAGAACACCTTGCTTTCAAGTGCCAGTGCATAGTCTTTAATGCTCCAAAACAGGGCTGGACAAAAGGTAGATCCCCAGATGTTGTAGACCTACAACTTCACATGATATTTTGCCAGACTTTAGAATGTCAACGCATCATGGAAGTTGCAATTCTATATCTGGGGATCTCTCAAATGCCCACTCCTGCTCTGAAAGGTGAAGTGTAAGAAGTGATAATATGCTAATACTTCCTCCAAGTTGCTTAATATTAGTAAAACTTGTCACCAGTTCTGTGGAGCAGCTTTCATTAAAACCCAAAGAGAACTGAATGGGAACTACTAAAGTTCCTTGTGAAGCATTAATATATGACTCCTGCCGAATATTTATTATATGAAAGTGCTAAACTGAGGTATAAGATGCTCGCTGTTACTGTATCTTGTATTTTGTTCATTTTAGTTGCAGTGATTTACAAAGATTGCTACAGCTGTATGTGTACTTCTTGATGTAAGATATTATTGGGAAGCTATAGTACTTCCCCATTGCCATACAGGGTATTTGTACAGGATGTTAATTCTATGACATAGAAATTGCTGCATTCTTAAGAAAGAAGCAAACGCTCCGATAAAGCTTTTTTGCAGGTAGCATCTAATATCTTGCCAAGTTGATACGTTAATGACTTAAAGGACCACTCTAGGCACCCAGACCACTTCAGCTAGGCTTAACTCATTCTTTTATAATAGCAGTTTCAGAGAAACTGCTATGTTTATGAATGGGTTAAGCCTTCCCCCAATTCCTCTAGCGGCTGTCTCATTGACAGCCGCTAAAGGCGCTTGTGTGCTTCTCACTGTGAAAATCACAGTGAGAGCACGCAAGCGTCCATAGGAAAGCATTGATAATGCTTTCCTATGTGACCGGCTGAATGCGCGCACAGCTCTTGCCGCGCGTGCGCATTCAGCCGAATGGGAGGAGAAGAGGAGGATCGGAGGAGGAGAGCTCCCCGCCCAGCGCTGGAGAAAGGTAAGTTTTTACCCCTTTCCCCCTTCCAGAGCCGGGTGGGAGGGGGACTCTGAGGGTGGGGGCACCCTCAGGGCACTATAGTGCCAGGAGAACGAGTATGTTTTCCTGGAACTATAGTGGTCCTTTAAATGAAACAACTCATGAATGCTGAAAAGTATATTCTATTATTCCCTGGGCAAAGAAGGATTGAGATTGGTTGAGACATTTTAGGTACTTCCTGGTAATTGCAGATTGCATCACAGAAGGAAGTTATCTTGAAGTGTCTCTATACAATAATACGCATTCAATGTTTATATTAGAAAGTGAACTGATGGTCTCTAAAAGGTAATATAGGGGTGCACGTTTAATCAATCCATTCTGCTCTTCCAAGTGCCAGAATATGTATCAACTAAGCAATCTACTTCCTGCTCAATGGTGAATGAAAATGGACGGCTGCCAGATCAACCCAAAACTATGTATGTACATCTGAAAACGCCTACCTTCCTGCTACATGTTAGAAAAATGTGGGATGTGGTCAGGGCCGGCCTTAGGCAATTAGGCGCCCTGTGCAAAAAGTCTTCACGGCGCCCCCCCCACCTCCCACCAAGTTGCCTGAATACAGTAACACACACAGGCACCGGGGACGTGTGTATCACGAGGCAAACAAGGCATCTGCCTTGGGCGCCACTTTGCAGGGGGCGGCAAAAAAAAGCATCCCTCCAAACCCCCAGGCAGATCCCTTGCTTGCCTCGCATCCTGGGGGGCTCAAGAGCTGACCGGCTGGCCACTTTTGAGCCCCCCCAAGGCTGGCAGCGGGCAGCGAAGGAGCATACTCACCTGAGCTCTTCCTGCTCAGCTTCCTCTGCGCCGCTTAATGAAGCCGGGAGCCAGAATATGACGTCAGTCCGGCTCCCGGCATCACTAAGCGCTGCTTACTCAGCCTGTGCGCCCCCTGCCTGCCTGCCCAGCAGCCACACTGGACTGCTGGTAAGAAATCCACTCCAGCTTTCCCAGGGAGGCTGGGTGGATTTAAAATAAATGTAAAAAATATTAGTTTGTGAGTGTTAGTGGAAATGTCTGTGTGTGTGTCTGTGAGTGTTTATTTTGAAGTGAATGTGTGTGTGTGTGTGTGTGTCTGTAATTGTGTGTGTCTGTAAGTGAATGTGTGTGTGTCTGTGAGTGAATGTGTGTGTTGGTCAGTGAGTGTATATGTGTCAGTCAGTGAGTGTATATGTGTCAGTCAGTGAGTGTGTATGTGTCAGTCAGTGAGTGTGTATGTGTCGTCAGTGAGTGTGTAGGTCAGTGAGTGTGTAGGTCAGTGAGTGTGTATGTGTCGGTCAGTGAGTGTGTGTCGGTCAGTGAGTGTGTGTCAGTCAGTGTGTATGTGTCGGTCAGTGGAGTTGTGCATCTTTCAGTGAGTGCTTGCGTCTGTCAGTGAGAGTGTGCATCTGTCAGTGTGTGTCCAAGTAATAGTGTATGTGTGTATGTCATTGTTTGTCAGTGTATATGAGAGTGTGTGTCTGTCAGTGAGTGTGCGTCTGTCAGTGAGTGAGCGTCTGTCAGTCAAAGTGCGGCCTTGACAGGAAGGGGTGGGGGAAATTTAAACTCGGTTACAGGTATGTACACACACACTCAGTTAAAGGCAGTCACACATACAGGCACAGGCACAAACAATGGCACAGCTACAGCGACACACACAGACAGACAGTCACATAGGCAGTCACACACACAGACAGACACACAGTAACACACACATAGACAGTTATGCACACACAGGCAGGCAGTCACACAGATAGAAAGTCACACACACAGGCAGGCAGTCACACACAGACAGATAGTTACAGACAGACACACACAGGCAGGCAGGCAGTCACATACAGGCAGTCACACACACAGGCAGTCACACACACAGACAGACAGTCACACACACAGACAGTCACACAGACAGACAGTCTCACACACACAGGCAGTCACACACACGGGCAGTCACACAGACAGACAGTCACACAGACAGACAGTCACACAGACAGACAGTCACACACACAGGCAGTCACACACACGGGCAGTCACATACATGGGCAGTCACACACACAGACAGTCACACACACAGACAGTCACACACAGGCAGGCAGTCACATACATGGGCAGTCACACAGACAGACAGTCACACACACACAGACAGTCACACACAGGCAGGCAGTCACACACAGAGACAGTCAGACACACACACAGAGACAGACAGTCACACACACACACACAAGGACAGGCAGTCACACAGACAGTCACACACACACACACACACACAGACAGTCACACGCACACAGGCAGGCAGTCACACACACACACACACAGACAGTCACACAAACAGGCAAACAGTCACACACACACACTTACCTCTTTCCAGTGGATGCAGTTGGCTGATGGGGAAGCATCTTTCCCTCTTCCTGTACAGCAGGGGCTTCGGGAGGTATTAGCCCCGTCTCCGCCTCTCGATAAGCCCCGCCTCCGCCGCTCGGTAAACCCCGCCCCCTCTGCCGCGATTTTTTTTTTTTTTTTTTTTAAATAGACCCGGGTGGAGAATAATTAATCCTCCAGCCAGGTACCTCTTTTAGCTCCCCTGCACTCCGGCCATGAGTGAGCTGTGTCGGCCACAGGGCGCCCCCTGTTCCATGGCGCCCTGTGCGGTCGCACAGCTCGCACACCCCTAAGGCCGGCCCTGGATGTGGTCTCCACATTAAGGAGTGGAGCGGACGCCCATAATAATGCACCATGAGATATGAATCCTTTTGGATCTTTCTCTCACCAACATATTAGCATGCCTTTATGTTGTTGAGTGGGTGCCATTTTCTCAGTGAGCAAAAGACTTGTCAAATACCTCTTTCATTGGCACCTAAAATAAAGAATCTTTGGATTTACAGCTTTATACTGGACATTTCTATTTTTCTATTCTCCATAAACCAAATGCTCTAATCAGCCCTCCATTTCATGTTTCCCTATATGTGATTAAATTAAAAGAATACTCCAAGCACCATAACCAACCAGTGTTATGTAGTGGTCATGGTACCCTGGGGCATCCACAATAGAAGCAGTCAAACCATTTGGTAGCAGGTTAACGTATTGCCTCCTGCTAGGAGCTTTCATTAACATGCAGGACAAGCATATTGGTGGGAACAACAGCTGGACCTGGCTCAGGCAGAGACCTTCAGGCTGTTCAAAAGGCAGTACCTGACTGACCCCAGGTAAGAAATAAAACCAGTGACAAACCTTTTGACTGCTTACATTGGGGTCGCTAGGACACTCATGGCAGCATAAATACTACAGTACTCATGGTACTCTGGGTGTTCCTTTAGCTATCTGGAGAACAGTTGTTGAATGTGAGGCACCAATAGTAAGGTATAGTTCTACTTGTGGTACAATCACTGGAAACCAACAGAACATCCTTTTACTTCCTCAATTCATTGAGCTGGACCTCAGAATTTCTCTGAGTAAATAAATTCCAATAAGATGACTACCTGCAGGTTCACCACTAAAGGTAAAATATTCTGCCATGAGAATAAAATCCAGGATGTCAAATTATGTACAAGGAAGAGGGGAGCCTGTTTTTTGAATTAATGGATGTAGGATAAATAGAATTCTCAAACTATGCAATTTGATTACTAAAATAAACATTTGATGGGATGAGGGATGTACTTTCAGAAGAAGGAATTGTGGTGACAGTGTATGTTATTTTTACCCCATCATGACATAACTTGCCAGGGCAATCATGATATAAAGGGATTTGATGAAGCCCTTGTCATGAAAAGGTTAAACACAACGCATATGTTTACAAATAGATCAGTATAGGGGATTTCTCCCTATGTGGGACATATGTGGGCTCGGTGACTGAGTGGGATGGATATTTTTGGGATGTTGAATCTTCCCTATCCTCTACCCTTTGGGCTACAGAATGTACCAAGGTTTTGGACTCTGAATTCCCATAATTCTGAAAGCAGAGTGTATAGAGAAATGCAGTCAAGTGGAGCAGACATACAAGCCCAAAAATGACCACTATGATGATTGTTTGAGGTTCCCAAGGTCCCGGTTCCACAGCAACCTCCATCTTCTTTTGTGTTCCATTTCCTCTGCTTAGGTGGTGGATAGGTGAGAGATTCATGATGCCGTATAAATGAATAAATGACAGATTTAGTCATTCTATTCTAGTCATACATCCTAAAAAAAAAAGTTAAATAAAAAAAGGTTAGGCCATGATTAATTAAGTTTTACAGTATATTTACTAGGAATATGTTGCCTGTATTCTATGCTATGTATTTACTATGATTTATTTGTTTGTACAAACATTCAGGGTTTTTCACTAATGATAGTATTTAAAGTGAATTTCCAATGTTCATCAATTACAAGTAAAATAATATTCAGGATATCAACCGTTACAAGAAAGTATGGGGTTTATTTTATGCGCAATGACATTAAAATTACCACATTTTGTTTGTCATGTTGAATTCTGCTACTTTGATTGAAATCTTACTACATCTTGTAAATTAGTGAATAAATCCCTTACTTTCCACTAACCATCTGGTACTTATTGTTGTGTGTTGAAATTCCACCAGTATGGAAACAATCAATCCTGTTATATGTGCATTCAATCAACTGATTATTTACTTGGAAGATGTTGTCCTAAATTAAGTCCTGTGGAGAACAAACAATACACTACTGTTACGTGGCTTAATATACAAATCTAATGAATATGAAATAAACTCAAATCAAAGTAAAACAAAAGAAACACATTAGTGCCTAGTGTTTATTTAAAGCTCGTCTATGCTTTTTTTGCATTCTAATATTCTACAAATTTGGTCTGTATTTTATATTTGTATATTTTATTAACACTAGGAATAGGGCACATTTAAAGGAAAAGCATATAGTCAAATTTTATATAGGATGTAATTCTACTAAAAGCAAAAAAACAAATAACAATTTACGAATGTTTGAAGTTTTCACGATAGTAAACTATGGAATGGTAAGCTCTCGACAGAATCATATTCCGGAGCATGGTTCTCTCTCCTGGAAATAGAGTACAGCCCAGGTTGTGGCATGCAGACATAACATGCAAATGTGAATAAACTTGACATAGCCAGCCCTAAACCAGTTTTTCAGTGTCAGCCATAAATTAATTTCTAAATATCTTGCAAGTGGCAGCGTTTTAGCAAGGTGAACTAATTATAATACTTAGTGTAACCCTATGCTTCATTAGAACCTCGATTCCAGTAAATAGCTACCTAATTACTTTGGTGTGGATTTCTACATTTCATTATTTTTCAGGAACCACAAACATTATTTCTATTTACTTTGCAAATATCATGAATCTTGGTAAGGGACAGTTCCCCTTTAAACAGGTCCCCAATGAAAAAACATTATTGGTGCTGCTTAGAATTTAAATTCCAATTTTAGTTTTCACACTTTTTTTTTCCTGTTAAGTTTCTCACCCACTGATTCAATGTAGGCTAATATACTGCTATGCTAGGCGCTACCCACACATGAACCTTTTAACATCTGGTAACAGATGTAAGAAAATTCTGCTGTAGATATTCGTTGTCAGATCCCATTGCTGGGATCGCAGTTCCTGCAATGATAAAAAGGAACTGTCTTACTTCTTCATTATGATGTATTCTTCCTGGAAGAAACCTGAATTCTATTGACCTCCAGCAGCTATCAGATGATATTGATTCCTAACTTCTATCCATCCCTTCTTTCTCCTGCCCCTCCCTGGCTAACTCATTATATAACACTACCGTCACCTCAGCCCTGGACTCTGCACTCCCGCTCCAAACATGCACCTCGAGGAGAACAACCGTGGCACACTAAATCAACACGCTACCTGCAGAGATGTTCCCGTTCTGTTGAGCGCTGCTGGAGGAAGTCATGCAACAAGTCAGACTTCCTCCACTACAAATTCATGTTGAGTTCATACAGCACAGCCCTTGCCCTTTCCAAACAGTTATACTTTCCCTCCCTCACTAGCACATGCTCCCGCAATCCAATGCTTCTTTTTCATACCTTTAACTCCCTTCTTTGCCCTGCTGTGGCCAACCCCCAAATCAACCTTACAACCGATAACTTTGCATGCTACTTTTCCAACAGCTAAGGAAATAATTCTCACCACCTTGCCCCTCTCTTTCTTAACCACTATTGGATCATTCCTTTCCTACCCTTCAGACTTTATCCCAGGGTACAAGAGCTGAACAAGAGGTGGCTGTGCTTTTTCTTTCCTCTCTCCCCACCACTTGCCCACTTGATCCTGTCCCATCTCACCTTATCAGATCTCTCTCCTCTTGTTTTGTGCCTTCCTTAACACTCATCATCAACTGCTCTCTCTCTTCTGGTGTTGTCCCTGATGCACTTAAACATGCTACTGTAGTACCCATCTTAAAAAAAAAAAAACATCGTCCCCTTTTAACTATCGTCCCATATCCCTGCTCCCTTTTTTCTCAAAGCTTCTGGAAAGACTTGTGTTTAACCATCTGGCGTGTTTCCTGAATTCCAACTCTCTCCTTGACCCACTTCAGTCTGGCTTCCGTCCTCTTCACTCTACTGAGACTGCTCTTATTAAAGTCTATAACGACCTGATCACAGCTAAATCCAAAGGCACTACTCCATACAAATTCTTCTTGATCTCTTTGCTGCCTTTGACACTTTTGACCATGTTCTCCTTCTCCAAACTCTTCAATCACTCGGTCTCTGTGACACTGTCCTCTCTTGGTTTTCCTCCTATCTCTCCCAACGCTCATTCAATGTCTCCTTTTCTAATGATATCTCCTCCCCTCGTTCTGTCTCTGTTGGAGTCCCCCAAGGCTCTGTACTTGGTCCCCGTCTATTTTATCTTTATACTGCCTTTCTTGGCAAACTTATTCCCTCATTTGGATTTCAATACCACCTGTACACTGATGACACCCAGATATACCTCTCCTCCCTAGACCTCTCTCCTGCTGTTCTGCAACGTGTCACTGCTTGCCTTTCTTCCATCTCTGACTCGATGTGCTCCAGCTTTTTGAAACTCAATCTCTCTAAAACTGAACTTCTTGTCTTTCCTCCTAGTAATAATGATCCTCTTCTCTTGCCCTCTCTTCAAGTTGGTGGTATCCACATCAGCCCATCGTTGCAAGCGCGTTTTTGGCATTATATTTGATTCTGGCCTCACCTTTGAGCCTCACATCTTGTCTGTTACCAAATCCTGTAGATTCCACCTTAAAAACTTAGCCCGCATCCGACACCTTTTCTTATGCAAGATGCTACCAAGGATCTTGCCCACGCTCTTGTAATCTCTCATGGATTATTGTAACCCTCTCCTAACTGGTCTTCCCAGAAGTCATATTGCTCTGCTACAGTCTGTAATGAATGCTGCAGCTAGACTGATATTCCTCTACTGTCGCTCCTCTCATACCTCTACCCTCGGTCAGTCCTTACAATGGCTTCCTGTATCCTGTAGGAGTCAATTCAAGGTACTAATCGACACCTATAAAGCACTGAACAATTCTAGCCCCTCCTTTATCTCTTCACAGATCCATAGGTATGCCGTTTCTCAGTCTCTCCTCTCTGCCCATGACCTTCTCCTGTCCGCTGCTCGCAACCATATGGCCAACTCACGTTTGCAGGACTTCCCGCGGGTGGCTCCTTTCCTTTGGAATAGCCTGTCTACCACCATCATACTCTTCAATCATTTAAAAAGTGCCTCAAAACACATCTTTTTAGGAAAGCTTACGGCCTCCCAGAGAAACCTCTACCTCACATACCTATCCCTCGCTTTTTCCTAAAGGGCAGCACTCTATTTTCTCCTCCAGTTCTTCTTCACTCCCACCTTGTTTGCTACGTCCTGTTGTGTTTTATATTATTGTTGAATGGGTTAGGCAGTGGCTTGGACCCATTATCCTTGATGGTAAGGTATGTCTTTTTGCTGATGATACTAAAATTTGCAACAGGGTTGATGTTCTAGGAGGGATAAGCCAAATGGCAAATGATTTAGGTAAATTAGAACAATGGTCAGAGCTGTGTCAACTGACATTTAATGTGGATAAGTGCAAGATAATGCATCTTGGATGTAAAAACCCAAGGGCAGAGTACAGAATATTTGAAACCCTACTAACCTCAACATCTGAGGAAAGGGATTTAGGAGTAATTATTATAGATGACTTAAAGGTAAGCAGACAATGTAATAGAGCAGCAGGAAATGCTAGCAGAATGCTTGGTTGTATAGGGAGAGGTATTAACAGTAGAAATAGTGAAGTACTCATGCCATTGTACAGAACACTGGTGAGACCTCACTTGGAGTATTGTACACAGTACTGGAGACCGTATGTTCAGAAGGATATTGATACTTTAGAGAGAGTTCAGAGAAGGAGCTACTAAACTGATTCATGGATTGCAGGATAAAACTTATCAGGAAAGATTAAAGGATATTAACATATATAGCTTGGGGGAAGACAAGACAGGGGGATATGATAGAAACATTTAAAAACATAAAAGGAAGCAACACAGTAAAGAGGACATGGTCTTAAAATAGAGGGGCAAAGTTTAAAAAAAAATTCAGGAATTATTACTTTACAGAGAGGGTAGTGGATGCATGGAATAGGCTTCCAGCTAAAGTGGTAGAGGTTACCAGAGTGAGGGAGTTTAAGCATGCGTGGGATAGGCTATCCTAGACTTAAGATAAGGCCAGGGACTAATTAAAGTATTTTGAAAATTGGGCAAACTAGATGGCCGAATGGTTCTTATCATTAAACTTTGTACTTTATTAAACTTTATTAAATAATTGAAAGCAGTGGTGGAATGTATCTGTGTATCTATCTCTGTGTTTTTGTATGTGTTACAGTTACCAACTGTCCCATTTTTGCCTAGATATGCTCATGTTTAGGTGTCCGGTTTGGTGGATGGGGCGTTCTGTATTGGGGCTGGATGATTTTTATTCTGCTAGTGAAAATGTCCTGAAAACTACAGAACAGTCAAATTCCTGCCCCATGGGTGTCAGGTTTTTCTCCACTGCTGTAGTAGCACAGGAATGCTGTGAGTGTAAGAGTGTATATGTGTGTATATGTGTGTACCAGTGTGTGTATGTGTGTATATATCAGTGTGTGCATCTGTGAGTGTTTCTGCGTGTGTTTATGTGTAATGGTATATGTATTTATATATGTATTTTTTGGGGGGGTATGTGTGCATCTGTGAGTGTCCATCTATTTAACAGTGTGTTACTATGTATGTGAAACTGTGTATTTATTTGTCTATGTGTATATCTGTGAGTGTATGAGTGTGTATATGTGTAACGGTGTATATGTGTAACAGTGCATGTGTGTGAGTCAGTGAGAGGGTGAAACAGTTGGCATTTTTTACTTTGAAACAGCAAGAGCAGTTAGCAAAAGTAATACATTCTTATAATAAAAGTATAATAATGTTATACAGTCAATATTTAAGATAGTTCATTACTGAACATTGAAGTAGTGGGGCTGAAACATCAACTGCAATCTGCTGCATATTTGCATAAACTAAATAGTTTTGTGTTTTTTTTAAGTCCTTGGAGTAAGCTTCTTAGTGTTAAAAATGTTTATTTACATTTTTTACACCTCTATATATGTGCACTATGTGACAAGATGACTGATATAAAAAAAAAAAATTCCAAGGCTGCATTTTATTCGACTGTGATAGGAGATTGGTGTGGTAAACAGGGGCTGTGATATTTGCCACCAAGGCTGGGCTGACCAAGTAAAAAAAAAAAAAAAAAAAAAAGGTGGAGTGGCGGAAAAAGAAAAGTAAAACTGAGCACTCTGAAAAACTGTACAAAATATTAATAAATCAGTTGTCAACTAAAAAATGGTGTTTATTCACAATTGAGTGTTAGGGGGCAAAATTTGCAACAGGTGAAAAAAAAACATACAAAATGAATCACTTGTGCCAAATAATTCTCTGGAAATTAGCAGTAAAAGTGTCAGTGACACTTTAATAAATCTTCCCTGAAATGCTCCTGGAAATTTTTTTAAATGTTGACAGCTGTTATATACCTGTGCTTGTCTTCATTTCGGGGGGTATATTTGCATTTAGTCATACATATGTATGTGTGGTTGTAGATTTAGGTATTTCTCATTGTATTTTTGTTTGTAAGTGTGTGTGTCTGTTTGTGAAAATGCATAAGGATAAAATCGAACACAAAATCCAGCAGTAACCTTCTCAAATTTGAGATCTGGATCCTCTCCTGTTCAAAGCACCCCAACCCCTTCTGTTCTACAACATACGGGCATTTAGTAATTTTGATCTCTCTTGGTGTGATTATACATAGCTGCCCATTCTAGAAGCCTGTTTCATGTCCATCCTTGTTAATTTGAAATATCAGATGGTATGGATAGGTTCATATAAAACCCCGAGTTGTACAGTAATCGGTTCCAAGCACCTTCATCTCCTGATCACCAGGTAGAAGCTACATAATCTCTTTGACAGAGCAAATAAATATCTTAAAACAATCATCCTTTAAAAATAAATACCGGTTACAATGTATAGCCAATTCCTAGCACTCTTTAAAAAATAACGTAAATCATATTAAAATATTATTTTAATTTATATATTTAATGCAAAATGTCAAGAGTCCTATTTCTCTTGCGTGGTTTCCTAAGTGTGACTGTGTATTTTATTCGTATATAACACTCAGTTACTCTCCACATCCCTTTTACATTTTATAATCCTTCAAATACAGTGATTTTGGGGATATTCTTCTCTGACAGGAATGTTCCTTCAAGTCATAATTCTTGGAAATACAGCTAGCTAATTAAAACTGGCTGCAATATAGAGATAACTTATTTTTTGTTTGGGTTCTTGTCTGAGTATTCCGAGATACAGAGATTCTTTCTTATTCCCCAACTGCTTCTAATATCAAAAGCTAAATATATTCCTACATTTTAAATACCTCAATCATTGCTTATAATGGTTGTGAAAAGTCCTCAGTGTTTTTTAGTTAATCAGTGTTTAATCCCCTTTACCCCATCAGTCAATTACAAATTCCATATTTAGATCAGGCTATGGTGAGGGCTGTTATGTGTCTGTGGGCACAACATTCTCAGGCATGCCCCAGTTCCTCAAATATATGCAGATAAAGTATAATGAATTTATTAAGAGGACACTGCAGGCCTTAAAAATAAATAAATAATAATAATAATAATAAATCCATTTAGAGACAACAGAATATGTGTTAAGATATGTATGTGCATATTTCTGCTCTGCTTGTATAGTAATGTGTTTGAATCTGTGAGAATAGCGAGTGTGGCCAGCTGTGTAAATGCACATAGGGTTAAAGATAATGTTAGAAGTGGTTAGGGTAAAGAGGGGTTCAAGGTTACAGAGGGATTAATGTCAGAATTAGATTGTACATGTGGTTTAGTGTTAATAACAATTACAGTTTGAGGGGGGGGGGGGTCAAAGTTGTAGTATAAGGGGTGTTTAGGATTATTGAATTTAAAGGACCACTATAGGCACACAGACCAATTCGGCTCAGTGAAGTGGTCTGGGTGCCAGGTCCCTCTAGTTTTAACCCTGCAGCTGAAAACATAGCAGTTTCGAGGGTTAATCCAGAGTTAATGAGGGTTAATCCAGCCTCTAGTGACCGTCTTCTTGACAGCCACTAGAGGCCACTTCTGCGATTCTCACTGTGAAAATCATGGTGAGAAGACGCTGTCCACAGGAAAGCATTGAATAATGCTTTCCTATGGGCAGTTTGAATGCACGTGCGGCTCTTGCAGCGCATGCGCATTCCCATCGGACGTCGGCAGGGGGAGGAGAGGTCACCAGAACCGAGGGAGCTCAGCGCTGGATAAAGGTAAGTGGCTGCAGGGATTTTAACCCCTTCAGCCCAGCGGGAGGGGGGCCCTAATGATCCTATAGTGCCAGGAAAACAAGTTTGTTTTCCTGGCACTATAGTGCTCCTTTAAGGCTAGGCTTAGATTAAATTTAGTATTGGGGTACATAAGGTGTTAGTATTGGGGTACATATTTAAGAGGTGTTAAATACAGGATTAAGGTAAAAAGATTTTTTTTCCATGTTTAGGCTTTGACTGCAGGAAGTTGAAAGGTTTTTTGAGGCAATTGTTTCCTATGGGGAAGGCCTAGTGCGTGCACAGTGCATGTGCATTAGTCACCCCATCGGCTGATGTAAGGGGAGGTAGAGCACAACCCGTGACGTGAATAAAGGGTTACTTAATCCTTTACATCACAGGGAATGGGGGGGGGGGAGGGGTGGCGTCAGAGGAACACGTTAGTGTTGGGAATGCATTTTTGTATTTTAAGCTGTAGCGGTTCTGAGGACTACAAAAATCCCCCCCACATGTGACATCACAATGCCCCACCCATATGATCTGCCCTATGAACTAACGTCAGTGCTGCACACAATGTGTGTTGACATTAAAAAGCCTGCAGGGACAGGCTGTAGACACCAGAACCACTTCATTGAGCTGCAGTGGTTCTGGGGAGTATAGTGTCCCTTTAATGTGAGATAAATTAGAGATTAGTATTGTTTGTTTCTGGTTGTGTGTAAGGGATGCATTATGTGAATCTGTGTTTGTATGCACAAGGGATGCAAGGTGTGTTTCTGTGTATGTAAGGGATGCAGTGTGTGTGTCTGTAAGGGGTGCATTGAGTGTGTGTAAAAGATGCATTGTGTTTCTCTGTGTGTGTAAGAGAAGCAGTGTGTGTTTGCATGTGTGTGGAGGGATGCATTATGTGTTTCTGTGTATGTGTGCAAATGATGCATTGTCTTTATGTGTAAGGGTTGCATTGTGTGGGTGTGTGTGTAATGGATGCATTGTGTGTTCCTCTGTGTGTAAGGGAAGCATGTTGTGTTTCTGTGTGTAGGGATGCATTTTGTGTTTCTGAGTATGTATAGGGATGCATTGTGTATGTGTGCGTAGTGTGAAAGAGCTCCCTGTCCTGCCCTCTGTCCTATAGAGCTCTCCCTTCCCTCCCTTAGAGATCTCCCCTGCCCCTTAGTGGTCTCTCCTCTCCTCCCCTGTCCCTTAGTGGACCCTACTCTCCTCCCCCCACCTCCCTTAGTGGTCTCTCCTTTTCTCCCCGACTTTCCATTAGTGGTCTCTCGTCTCCCCCTTAGTGGTCTCTGCTCTCCTCTGCCCCCCTTTCCATTACTGGTCTCTCCTCTCCCCCCTTTCCATTAGTGGTCTCCCCCCACCCTTAGTGGTCTCTCCACTCCCCCCACCCTCCCCTAGTGGTCTCTTCTCACCCCTTCCATTAGGTGGTTCTCTCCCACCCTCCCCTAGTGGTCTCTCCTCCTTGAGTGGTCTCTGCTCTCCCCCTACCCTCCTTGGTGGTCTCTCCTCACCCCCCCCTTGTGGTCTCTCCACCACCCCTCCCTCCCTTAGTGGTCTCCGTCCCCCCACCCACGTTCTCTTACATCCCCCCTCCCTCCTTTAGTGGTCTCTTCCCCAATTCTCTCCTCACCCTCTCCCCGTTCTCCTCACCACCCCTCCTTAGTGGACTCTTCCCCCAATCTCCTCTCACCACCTTCCTCCCTTGAGTGGTCTCAGGTCTCCCCACCTCCTAGTGGTCTCTCACCACCTCCTCCCTCCTTTAGTGGTCTCTCCCTCCCCAGGTTCTCCTCAACCCCTATGTTCTCCTCCACACACCCCGTGTTCTCCTCCATCTGCCCCCTCCTGTGTTTCTCCTCATCTCCTCCCCTCCCCTGTTCTCATCTCCTCCCTCCTCCCTGTGTTCTCCCCGTGTTCTTTTCCCCTCCTCCTGTGTTCTCCTGTTCTTTTCCCTCCTGTGTTCTCCTCTGCTTCCCCTCCTGTGTTCCTCTTCTTACCCCTCCCTGTGTTCCTTCTTCTTTCCCTCCTGTGTTCTCTCTTCCCCCGTATTTTCCTCTTCTCCCCCTGTGTTCTCCTCTTCTTCCCCTCCTCCTCTTCCCTGTGTTCTCCTCTTCTCTCCCACCTGTGTTCTCCTCTTCTCCCCCCTCCTCCCTGTGTTCTCCTCTTCTACCCCTCTCCTCCCTGTGTTCTCCTCTTCTTCCCCCATCCTCCTGTGTTCTCCTCTTCTCCCCCCTCCTCCTATGTTCTCCTCTTCTCTCCCTGTGTTCTCCTCTTCTTCCCCCTCCTCCCTGTGTTCTCCTCTTCTATCCCCCCCGTGTTCTCCTCTTCTACCCTCCCCACCCCCCCCATGTTCTCCTCACCTTCCTTTCCCTGTGTGTAGCGTTTCTGAGCTCATTTCCGGTCCACGGTACAGGAACTTCTGTTTCCTGTACCCGGCTGGACTGACAGGATGTGCACTTGCTATCAGTCCAGCCGAGTACAGGAAACGGAGGTTCCTGTGCCGTGGACCAGAGAGGAGCTCAGCCACGCTACACACAGGGAAGGGGAGGTGAGGAGAGAGGCAGTGCTGCAGCCGCCTGAGGCTCTCTATAGAGTGATCAGGTGGCTACAGCATTAGAAGGGCTGGCGATGCCTAGTTCGTCTTATAGGAAGCGCCGGCCCTGAGCATAATCCAATCACAGTGCTTCCCCATACGATTGGCTGAGACTGACAAAGAGGCAGATCAGGGGCAGAGCCAGCATGATTCAAACACAGCCCTGGCCAATTAGCATCTCCTCATAGAGATGAATGGAATCAATAAATCTCTATGAGGAAAGTTCAGTGTCTGCATGCAGAGGGAGGAGACACTGAATGTTTGGATGCATTTTAGGCAGCCATGACCCAGGAAGGATCTCTAACAGCCATCTAAGGAGTGGCCAGTGAAGTTATCACTAGGCTGTAATGTAAACACTGCATTTTCTCTGAAAAGACCGTTTTTACAGCAAATGCCTGAAGATAATGATTCTACTCAACAGAACAAATCCAATAAGCTGTAGTTGTTCTGGTGTAGTTGTTCTGGTGTCCCTTTAATGTTAAATACCCATATAAATGACGCTGTAATGGTACTACCCTCTTCTGAACACGGCACCATTGCCATGTTGTTATAATGACGTTGAACATTATGAACATTTTATAAAGGTAAACCATATTTTTCTAGAATTATAATAAACACTGTTTATAAAAGGAAACCATATTCTCTAGAATTATCAAATGAAATTACATGGGGAAATAACCAGTTTATGCACAGAATTTGCAAGGCAAGTCCCCAGTTTTCACTTATCTTTGGGTTTTCATCTTCTACATGTAACTAGAAAGTCTCTGGATATAATTGATCCAGATGGCGGTAAATTGGCAATAGCTTAGCTTATGTAACTCAGACATAAAGTACACTGATGAGTCACACAATGGGTCATGCATTTTGTTGGCACCTTTCAATTTGCCAGATTGGCTTATTTTTTACTCCGATAACTTTTACTTGCTGATACTTGGCACCTGAATAGTGTTGAACAATGCACAGAGATACAACTGCACCTGCGGACTGTAACTCCCATTATTGTCATACACCAATATTTCTATAAAACAATCTACATTACTATTTAACTGTTGCTAGGATTTCAAGTTAATTTCTAATTAATTTGTTTCATATATTGTTGACGGTGGAAAGGTAAAAGTAATTCCCCTTGCAAAAATATATTGCATTGTTGCACCACCATCACTGGTCATTAACTCCTTCAATCTTTTTTTCGATAAACTACATGCAGCTCATTTTCAAGAATTCCGTGGCTACCACAGGTATCTGAACTGAGATGGCTCCTTCTTGCTTAACCCACTCTATGTCTCATTGAAACTAGCACCATATTAGAATAAAGCACTATTTAACGTAGTATCTGACCCTAAATGGACAACATCAACAAAACACAAGCATAGTGTATTATGTACATGCATTGTAAAATGTATACATTACCTGTAAGATTTTAAGCTGTGCAAGTCAGTGCTTGAAGATGGTGAGGCTGAAATTCTCTTGCATTTTCTGCATCTGTATACAGCCTGGCGCCTGTGCAGAATATACAGAGGCACAGAGAGATTAGGGGGGAAAAAGGAACGTAGATGATTGTGGTTGCTTTGGAAACAACTCACCTCTGGGCTACATCACTGAGAAGAAAAATTCTAAACACTAAACCGCAGGAGCTCACATCCTAACCTAAATCTCTATAACCTACATCTTACTTCTAACAACAGAAAGAAATCCCTCAGACGCACATAGACACCTACACACACTATATATTATATAGAGAGGCACACTGCATTCTCAGTGTATATAATATAAAGGAACACACATACACAACATTCTACGTATATATTATATGAAACATAACCCAAGTCCATGTATTTATATTAAGACAGCAGCACACATAAGAACACATTCACTAAATGCTGAATTGTAGTGAATTGAAAACAGAATTGCAACATTTAGGCAGACTCACCTAATAGAAAAACATTTCTATGATTACAGTTAGAGATTGTTGTTTAGTGAATAAACCCAGCATATCTACTCTCATTCCTTGTATAATGTACAGCAGTATAATATGTGTATATTACATACAGCAACACAAACACACATTCTGCATGTAATGCATGCAGGAGCACACCCACTCTCTGAATATTTTTATATATAATAAACAGCAACTGGCAGAAAGGAACAAGGCGACAAATCGATAACTCGTGGGGTGTGTGTGTGTATGTTGGGGGTTGTGTTGGTTCAAATGAACTTGTGTAATGTGGTTTTAAGGTGAAGCAGGGGTGTGCATATTTGTATGTAAAATGTGGATTATATATAATTCTGCTGTGTTTGTCTCTTGAATATTCTCACAACCTTTCATTTTTTGTGTGCATGCAGACCCAGGGAAAGACGATAATGATTTCTAAATGCTTTTAAAACGCAGGATGAGATTAAAATAGAGACTGTCGACTTCTGCTCCTGTCTTCCCTTTTACATTACCTCTGTATTTATACATATATACAAAATTACGTACTATGATAATCTTCATATCCTGACACAGAAACTCCACATTATAAATAATGAGTTAAATAAATAAGTGATGGGGTGGTGAAAGAGAGCTATATGGGAAGGGGTTAAAATAGAACATATTTAGGGAGGTAAAAGGGAGAGAGATGAAGTGGGGAGATGAAAACTAACAATTAAGACCTCCCTCCGGCCTGCCTTTCTTCCCATGCTGCCGATCGCCATCTGGGGGTCTGCCTGGCAACCCAATCGTGGTGATCCGCAGATTGTCACCATGATCTCTGTTACAATGTCTCAGAAAATGATTTGTAACATTGACTGAGACATTGTCTAGGCCCCTCTCTTCGCCTCACTTTGATCTGAGATGAGAGAGGCAGAGAGATCATTGCTAAACTGTGCAAAAAATTGTAAACGTGTTAAAAGATAAAAAAAAAAAATATTTACTTTTTTTTATTTTTATTCTTTTCATTGCTGATCAGAGCATTAACCCTGTGATCAGTCTGATTAGGGTGATAGTAATCATTTTTTTTCGTTTCAGATAATTGATATTTTTTTGTCATATTTTTTATTTAACCTCTTCTTTGATGCCTGATCACTGTACTGTACAGTATCTGTGCTGTACGGTGCTGTATCAATGACCAGTGTGATCAGAGAGCTTTCTGATCCAGCTGACATTTATTTGTGTTAGCTCTATTAAAAACACAACAAAAAAATTAGCGTTTGGAATATGTACAGATAGCCAATCATCAGGTAAAAATATTTGCCCTATATGTTTTACCGTCCTCTTCAGGGACAAACAGTAAAACAAATGCCCAACACACAATAATCCATCCCACCAAAACAAGCGTCTAATATTTTCAAAATTCGAACTCTAATCTAATTAACCAGTCCACTGTCTAATTATAATAATAACAAATATAATAATAATAAGGGACCATGGACATATATTGCCCCATTATAGATCATCATGTCACGTGGTCCATGTCTTCAGCTTTAGGCCCTGGCCCACATCCCGGACAATCTCTTCATGCATTACACATGATCCAAAGACCAGATTCCAACATAAAATATTTGGGTTGTATTCCCCAGACTATTTATATCAACTTAACATTTCTCAGATGATTCAAATTATTACTAATCAATTGAGAGACTGGCAACGCCTTTCTTTTACGATCTCGGTTGGTTCTATCTGCTTCACAGCGACCAACTTCACAGCAGTACATGTGGCTGGAGGCTAGTTTTTGGGTACAGCAGCTAGCCCAGTGTGCCTGTTCCTCTCCTCTGGATCAGCCTTCAGATAGGGCCTCTATTCCACAACATGGCAGATCCCAGGCCCTGAGAGTGGCAGGACCAACTGTGTTTTTGTTATTATTGTGAAATGTTAATCAGTGACTCCCCATTCAGTAAACTGGCTTGAGAGAGGTATCTTTTTTTCTTCATTCATTTCATGTATGTGCCTGTCCCTCATTTAGTACCTGTTCCTTACTTTGTCCCTCAGTTGTCCTTGTCCCTCACTTTGTCCCTTTGTCCCCTTTAGATTGTCACTTTGACCCTTACTTTGTCACTGTCCCTCACTTTGTCCCTTTGTCCCTTTTTTCCCTCACTTTGTACCTGCTGCACAATGTCGCCAGTAGTTACCAAAAACACATTCCTCTGTCCACTGCGCACTCTCTTCTGTTTGTCATGTGACCTGTGGCAACCATCCACCGTCACTCTGTCTCTAGTGACTAAAGACACCGATGATGGTTGGTTGCCACGGGTCACATGACAAACAGGAGAGAGTGCCGCACTGAACAAATCTCGAGACAGAGAAATTTGAAAGGAGATCACCGCTTTTATTTATGGAGAAACAAAATATTCATAGGGCCAAAAGAGAGGGTTTAGCAGTCTACACAATGTGTGTTTTATCTTGACCTTCTAATTCTTGTCTAGCTCATGTTGTACTGTATTTCTTATAACGTTTTGCCAGGCAATTTTGTAGATATGTAGTCTAACAATAGCCAGAGGGCCAAGGATGAACCCAGGCTGTTTAAGCCAATCCTTTTATTATATTTTGGACTGTCCCGTCAGTAAATCTCTTGGCAGGATCTGGTGTTACCCTTCATATACTAGACTGTACAGACAAATCTTAGTGCTCAAGTAACTTAAATTTATAAATAAATACTGGAAAAAGCTAGCATGCTTTGACATTTTCCATTTACTTTATGAGACATCTGATCCCTCTTCCACCAGGTCAAGGTTTTCTTTTGAGCAAGAACTGACGTCATGGAAAGCTATGGTGATGTACGTAGTCTGTGAGCCATTACTCATTACACAAATATTATTTTATCCTTGAATCTTGTTCAATGTTACTTAATTCTAATATATCTGAATAGAGATTTTGTATACTGTGCCTTAAATATTCCCAAAGTACTATGTATGCCCATTTTTTCCCCAGTGGATAAATTGAAGTTTTATGGTATGTGTATTTACCTGTATAGGAAACAAATTTGCCTATTCATTCAATATGAAAAATAGCAATAAAGAAGCATAGCGCAGTAACATAATCAATGTTAAAACTTTTTTTCTGTTTTTCATACTGAATTTACTATTAGTAAATGTTGCTTTTAGTTCTTTATTTAATCTCCTCACTGTGTGTTTGCTTGCTGCACTTTGGGAGGTGCCCATTGGAGGAGAAAGACTTGCAGGGATTTTCCATGTGGATGTTTGCGGCGTGCTTGCTATGGACAGTTATTTTATATTAGCACTTGATATACACTTGTGTAATTTGTGAACACATTTTTGCAAATTTAATATTGGTTTTTGTGAACACATTTTGGAACTATAATATTTTTTTCTTTCAAATGTTTATAGACAAAAATAGGAAAAATTCGTTATAAATGAATCAGGCAATATTTAGGCATTTCAATAGTGCTCTTACAGGAGACGAGAAGTGACTATTTTCTTCTGGTTTTTTTTTTGTTTTGTTTTTTTCATTTCAGTTTATTGTAGAGGTCTTTTGAGCAGACTAATTCCTCTAGAACAGGGATCTCAAGCTCTGCCACATTGAAGACCTGGAACTCCCCGAATTTCTTGAATGCAATAGATGTTCAAAGAATCTTGGGGGGGGGGGAGGTAAAGTTTGAGATGCGTGTTCTAAAAGAATGCTTTTCCCACATTTTTCACAAGAAATAAAATCGTCCTGCTCTTTTATGGAAATACATCAAACCTTTTTCTTCTGTCATTTTTGAACCCCCAATGCTCATTCCCGCCCTTTCCTTTCCCAACGAAAGGCTTTGTAAGGAAACCAAGTACATTTAAACCTTAATCGGTAGTTTCCTCCCGAACAGCCAGAGCCCAGTGAATATAGCCCTCCGTCCGGTAGTTATGGTAGATGAATTCCCAATTGTAAATCCAATAGTGTTCCTGGATAATTCCCACAGTAAAACACACGAACTCCCAAACAGCATACGTAGTCAGAATAAGGGTACAAAGATGAACTGAGGTTTAATGACAGGCATGCTCTTTTTATGGAATTCAGCCCATGCAAGGGAGCCTCCCATATAATTAGCCATACATCCAATCCTAACAATATACATACTGTACATCTCCTCCCCTCAGATAACCATTAAACACAATTAAAATGTTACAGAAATTCCCCAAAGTTTGGATGTACCCCAAGGACTTAGAAGTCCCGTTTGGGAGATATAGGACTTAGAAGTTTTGACCGACTGCACGGGCAAAGTAGCCGAAAACAGTTCCATGAATTCTGGCCCTGCGGTCGGTCTTAGATCGCATGAAAAATCTCACGAACGGCCGGCCATCCAGCTACCATCCTTGGTTCGCTGGATTCCCCATCTGTTGGTAAGTCTTTCTACCGAACGCCCGGTCGTTTGGTAGTTTGGAAGGGGTTTTACCGAAGGTCTGGAGGCTTCAGCGGCGTTCGCCTGTTTGAGAGTCCGTTTTCAGTTCCAGACATTCAATGGCAAACACCGCTGTTCGGGAGCTAAAATGGCCGCGAACACGAGGAAGTCCCGAAATGGCGGCGAGACCTGCCGTTCGTGCAAAACTTCTGCCGAACGTAATCCAGCCAGCCAGGGGGTACAGTCTGTATAAAGGGGTGACAGGGGGGTCTGCATTCTGTAGTTTTACCTACCGAATGCCA